CTGGTTCCCGGCGTTTGAAGCTGTTCCAGTATAGTATTTAAACTGTTGTAATCTGGTTGTATATACAATATACAGGACGGCATAAGCCAGATTAGGATTATATAACCCTCGCATATTGCATTTTACAAGGACAGTCACCAGTCCTACATATATGAATATGATGACAGTAGAATAATGGGGTGTCAACCACGAGACGCTTTAGAGACCATTTCTGTGATATGCATATCACACTTTATGTTTTCCTGAATTACAACCCCTAGCAACTTCATGTTCCTAACATATTCATGAACGGTATCATTAAGTGTGAACAGTTGAAGATTAGGAACGTTATGCAAAAACATGTATTCTCATAACATGGCATTTTGAGGGCTTAGGTAACATGTTAATAGTTTTGCACCAATCATCTAACTCATTAAGTAACTCCTGGAATTTGGAATCATCATGTTTTTGGAGAACTTCACCTAGAGTGAGATCATCCACATATTTCCTCCTCCTGTAGCTTTCTAGACTAGCATTATTAATTAAGACCAGAAATAAAATTAGGCCCAATTTGGTGCCTTAGGGCAAGCCACACGTTATTTGACTATTTCTTGAGAAGGTCTTACCGAATTTGGTATTAATAACTCTATTGGTTAGGAAGCTGCAGATGATGGGTATGATGGATGATCTCACTCCAATTTCAATTAATTTATTAACAACAATTGAATGATCTACCCGATCAAAAGCTTTGGCAAAGTCCACTGCGCACAAGTTAACATAACACTGTTTGCCATCAGTGTCCTTCAATATTGAATCAATTAAACTAACAGGGTAGTGAGTGGTAGACGCTCCTTTCCGACTCCCGAATTGCTTGCTATCAAGTTTAGTCTCTATGTCCTCTATAATCCAATTGATAAAAAACATCTCAAAGATTCTTGCTAATAGCGGGGTGAGAAATATAGGGCGTAGATCATTGCAGGCGATGGTTCCTTTCACCTTTGGCACCGGTACAATTGCTGCATGTTTCCAAATATCTGGAAAAGTACTTGCTTTTAGTACACAATTTAAACACGTTTGCTACAAAAAAAACCTTTAGTAGTCTCGCTGGAAGGTCATCTGGGTGTCCTGCCTTTTTTGTTTTCAAGTTTTGTAACGAAATCTGAACTTGTCGAGAATAAATTTCAGGTGGCGGCTGAGAAGCTGGATGATATGCAGGTATGTTGGTCAAGTCCAGAGCAGTTGCTTCATTACCAAGGCCTGGTATACTGAACGACGACTTCTGCTTAAAATTGCACAGTTTTCCAACATTTTTATGCCAATTAGCAGGATCCGAATTGTGAAGGCTAGACACTGCTTTTTGGTAATTAGGTTTTTTTGCATCCTTGATGGCTTTTTGTACGCTGTTGCGGAGTTTTTTCCACTTGTTCGATTTACCAAATTTAGCCTATGCTTTTTTTCGTTGAGCTATGAGTTGTCTTGCTTTCATAGTCAGCCAAGGGCGATCAATGTTTCTAATTTTCAAAATTTCTGTTGGAAAATTGGCATTATAGGCATTTTGTAGAGTACTAATTAGTTCTTTAGTTTTCCTATTAGTATCAGTTAGGTCGTAAATATTATTCCATTGCTGCCCAACTATCCATTGCCCAAATTGTGTTATCGATGAGTCTTTAAATGGTCTGATTTTGAGGACAACCCGATCAATTCTCGGTAATTGGGTAATGGATATCATAAGACAGTCGTGATCACTACGTCCAAGGGGAGCTTTGCGTACAATATCTTCATACAACTCGGGATAGTTCATAAATATTTTATCAAGTGTAGAGTTCCTACGGGTATGAAATTTTACAATTTGAGTTAAACCAAGACTATCTTCAAAACCACTGGTATCCAGATCACTGAAATCACCAAGAATTATAATTGGAACTCGATAATTAGTACTACGGATTCTATCGACTATAGGTATAGTGATGCAACTCCAAAGACATTCATAGTTTCACTCCTTATGATGGTCAGTATTGTTCATTATTAACCCGTCAGCAGAATATACAGACACACCTCCACCTTTTTTCCTACGGATTCTATCGACTGTCTCAATCACATGTGACACAAGTTGGTCAGTCCCTGCTGCTGAAGGCGGATAGTATATTGCACCAATATATATGTGTTTCAACTGTCTGTTATTATTGGGTATGGTAATGCAACTCCAAAGACATTCTAGTTACACTCCTTATGCAGTGGCGGCTCTAGGATATATTTTCTGGGAAGGGGGGGGG